GTCATCCTGAAAATAATAAATTGCTTCTCAGTCATAACATTAGCTTTTTTATTTAAAGATTCATTTTATTTATTAAAAAGACAGAGTTACAGAGAGAGGTAGAGACAGAGAGAGAGGTCTTCCATCTGCTGATTCACTCTCCAGATGGCTGCAATGGCTGGAGATGCACCAATCCAAAGCCAGGAGCTAGGACTTCTTCTGGGTCTCCCACATGCGTGCAGAGGCCCAAGGACTTGGGCCATCTTCTACTGCTATCCCAAGCCATAGCAGACAGCAGGATCAGGAGAGGAGCAGCTGGGACTAGAACCATTGCCCATATGGGAAGCTGGTGCTTCAGGCCAGGGCATTAACCCACTGTGCTACAGTGCTGGCCCTATCACTAGCTTTTTTTTTTTAACTTTTATTTAATGAATATAAATTTCCAAAGTACGATTTATGGATTACAATGGCTTCCCCCACATACTGTCCCTCCCACCCACTACCCTCCCTTTTCCCACTCCCTCTCCCCTTCCATTCACATCAAGATTCATTTTCGATTATCTTAATATACAGAAGATCAGCTTAGTATACATTAAGTAAGGATTTCAACAGTTTGCTCACACAAAAACAAAAAGTGAAAAATAATAGATGATTTTTTTAAATGATGATGAAATCAGATCAGACCTATTGTCATGTTTAATCCCAGTGAGAGTCAAGTTGGGAGTTGACAATTTTTTTTTTTTTTACAGAGGATCAGTTTAGTATACATTAGGTAAAGATTTCAACAGTTTGCACCCCCATAAAAACACAAAGTGAAATATATTGTTTGAGTACTCGTTATAGCATTAAATCTCAATACACAGCACATTAAGGACAGAGATCCTACATGAGGAGTAAGTGCACAGTGACTCCTGTTGTTGACTTTACCAATTGACACTCCTGTCTATGGCATCAGTAGTCTCCCTATGCTCCGGTCATGAGTTTCCAAGGCTATGGAAGCCCTCTGAGTTCTCTGATTCTTATCTTGTTTAGACAAGCTCATAGTCAAAGTGGAGGTTCTCTCCTCCCTTCAGAGAAAGGTACCTCCTTCTTTGAAGACCTGTTCTTTCCACTGGGATCTCACTCGCAGAGATCTTTTTGCCTGAGTGTCTTGGCTTTCCATGCCTGAAATACTCTCATGGGCTTTTCAGCCAGATCCGAATGCCTTTAGGGCTGATTCTGAGGCCAGAGTGCTATTTAGGACATCTGCCATTCTATGAGTCTGCTGAGTATCTCACTTCCCATGTTGGATCACTCTCCCCTTTATTTATTCCATCGGTTAGTGTTAGCAGGTACTAGACTTGTTTATGTGCTCCCTTTGACTCTTAGTCCTTTCATTATGATCAATTGTGAACTGAAATTGATGACTTGGAATAGTGAGATGGCATTGGTACATGCCACCTTGATGGGATTGAATTGGAATTCCCTGGTATGTTTTTAACTCTACCATTTGGGGCAAGTCAGCTTGAGCATGTCCCAAATTATACATCTCTTCCCTCTCTTATTACCACTCTTATGTTTAACAGGGATCACATTTCAGTTAATTTTTAACACTTAAGAATAACTGTGTGATAATTTCAGAATTAAACCACTCATATTAAGTAGAACAGACAAAAAACTACTAAGAGGAATAATGTATTAAGTTGTTCATTAACAGTCAGGGCTATGCTGATCAAGTCACCGATTCCCATAGTGTCCATTCCACTTCAACAGGTTTCCTTTTTGGTGTTCAGTCAGTTGTCACCAATCAGGGAGAACATATGGTATTTGTCCCTTTGGGACTGGCTTATTTCACTCAGCATGATGTGTTCCAGATTCCTCCATTTTGTTGCAAATGACTGGATTTCATTGTTTCTTACTGTGGTATAGTATTCTAAAGAGTACATATCCCATAATTTCTTTATCCAGTCTATCGTTGATGGGCATTTAGGTTGGTTCCAGGTCTTAGCTATTGTGAATTGAGCTGCAATAAACATTAGGGTGCAGACCGCATTTTGTGTGCCAATTTAAATTCCTTTGGGTAAATTCCAAGGAGTGGGATGGCTGGGTCGAACGGTAGGGTTATCTTCAGGTTTCTGAGGAATCTCCAGACTGACTTCCATAGTGGCTTGACCAGTTTGCATTCCCACCAACAGTGGGTTAGTGTCCCTTTTTCCCCACATCCTCTCCAGCATCTGTTGTTGGTAGATTTCTGAATGTGAACCATTCTAACCGGGGTAAGGTGAAACCTCATTGTGGTTTTGATTTGCATTTCCCTGATTACTAATGACCTTGAACATTTTTTCATGTGCCTGTTGGCCATTTGGATTTCCTCTTTTGAAAAATGTCTATTGAGGTCCTTGGCCCATCTCTAAAGTGGGTTGTTTGTTTTGATCTTGTGGAGTTTCTTGATCTCTTTGTAGATTCTGGTTATTAACCCTTTATCTGTTGCATAGTTTGCAAATATTTTTTCCCATTCTGTCCGTTGTCTCTTCACTCTCCTGACTGTTTCTTTTGCAGTACAGAAACTTCTCAATTTGATGCAATCCCAATAGTTGATTTTGGCTTTGACTGCCTGTGCCTCCCGGGTCTTTTCCAGAAACTCTTTGCCTGTGCCAATATCTTGAAGGGTTTCTCCAATGTTCTCTAGTAACTTGATGGTGTCCGGTCGTAGATTTAGGTCTTTAATCCATGTTGAGTGGATTTTTGTGTAAGGTGTAAGGTAAGGGTCTTGCTTCATGCTTCTGCACATGGAAATCCAGTTTTCCCAGCACCATTTATTGAATAGACTGTCCTTGCTCCAGGAATTGGTTTTAGATCCTTGATCAAATATAAGTTGGCTGTAGATGTTTGGGTTGATTTCTGGTGTTTCAATTCTGTTCCATTGGTCTATCCATCTGTTTCTGTACCAGTACCATGCTGTTTTGATTACAACTGCCCTGTAGTATGTCCTGAAATCTGGTATTGTGATGCCTCCGGCTTTGTTTTTGTTGTACAAGATTGCTTTAGCTATTCGAGGTCTCTTGTGCCTCCATATAAATTTCAGCACCAATTTTTCCAGATATGAGAAGAAGGTCTTCGGTATCTTGATTGGTATTGCATTGAATTTATAAATTGCTTTTGGGAGAATGGACATTTTGATGATATTGATTCTTCCAATCCATGAGCATGGAAGATTTTTCCATTTCTTGGTATCCTCTTCTATTTCTTTCTTTAAGGTTTTGTAATTTTCATCGTAGAGATCTTTAACGTCCTTGGTTAAGTTTATTTTTGTAGCTATTGTGAATGGGATTGATCTTAGAAGTTCTTCCTCAGCCATGGCATTGTCTGTGTATACAAAGGCTGTTGATTTTTGTGCATTGATTTTATACCCTGCAACTTTGCCAAAATCTTCTATGAGTTCCAATAATCTCTTAGTAGAGTTCTTTGGGTCCCCTAAATAAAGAATCATGTCATCTGCAAAGAGGGATAGTTTGAGTTCTTCCTTCCCAATTTGTATCCCTTTAATTTCTTTTTCTTGCCTAATAGCTCTGGCTAGAACCTCCAGAACTATATTGAATAGCAGTGGTGAGAGTGGACATCCCTGTCTGGTACCAGATCTCAGTGGAAATGCTTCCAACTTTTCCCCATTCAATAGGATGTTGGCTGTGGGTTTTTCATAGATTGCTTTGATTGTATTGAGGAATGTTCCTTCCAAACCCAGTTTGCTTAGAGTTTTCATCATGAACGGGTGTTGTATTTTATCAAATGCTTTCTCGGCATCTATTGAGGTAATCATATGGTTTTTCTTCTGCAGTCTTAATGTGGTGTATCACATTGATTGTCTTGCGCACATTAAACCATCCCTGCATACCAGGGATAAATCCCACTTGGTCTGGGTGGATGATCTTGCTGATGTGTTGTTGCATTCTATTGGTGAGAATTTTATTGAGGATTTTTGCATCTATGTTCATCAGGGATATTGGTCTATAATTTTCTTTCAGTGCTGCATCTTTTTCCGGCTTAGGAATTAAGGTGATGCTGGCTTCATAGAAAGAATTTGGGAGGATTCCCTCTTCTTCGATTGTTCTGAATAGTTTGAGAAGAATTGGAGTTAGTTCTTCTTTAAATGTCTGGTAGAATTCAGCAGTGAATCCATCTGGTCCTGGGCTTTTCTTTGTTGGGAGGGCCTTTATTACTGTTTCAATTTCTGTCTCAGTTATGGGTCTGTTTAGGTTTTTGATGTCTTCCTGGTTCAATTTAGGTAGGTTGCATGTGTCCAGGAATCTACCATTTCTGATAGGTTTCCCTGTTTGCTGGCATACAAGTCCTTGTAGTAATTTCTGATGATTCTTTTTATTTCTGTGGTGTCTGTTGTTACGTTTCCTTTTTCATCTCTGATTTTATTGATTTGGGTCTTTTCTCTTCTTTTTTTAGTTAGTTGGGCCAATGGGGTGTCAATTTTGTTTATTTTTTCAAAAAACCAGCTCCTCGTTTGGCTGATTTTTTGTAATGTTTTTCTTGATTCAATCCTGTTGATTTCTTATCTGATTTTAATTATTTCTCTTCTCCTACTAGATTTGGGTCTGGTTTGCTGTAGGTTTGCTAGATCCTTGAGGTGAATTGAAAGCTCATCTATTTGGTGCCTTTCCAATTTCTTGATGTAGGCACCTATTGATATAAACTTTCCTCTTAACACTGCTTTTGCTGCGTCCCATAAGTTTTGGTATGTTGCCTATCACTAGCTTTTTAAAAATAAGTAGCAACAAAATGACTCCATTAACCTAAGGATAACTAGATTTAATCACTGCCAGTTAGTAAAATTTTGGGTGCTCTTTCAGGATCTTCCGTTCCCCTTATCAAGTGTAAATTGCTAACTCACCACAGAGATTTTTTCAGTTTCTCCAGCTAATATATCTATAATTCTGCATTCATTTCTATCATGATCTTCCCTAGCATAGTAGAGTCTAAGTGCAAGGGAGACCAGTTCTCTCACAACTCCCTGCATTCACTTTCTTTTCCAGGTGTAATTGTAGATACCACTACATGTTTCGGGGGCCAAAGAAAATGAATACAACACCAGTAAGTTGTATGCTTATTTCTCAACTTGTTTTACATTGTATTATAGGAGCTTTATGAGCATTTTTAAATTAAAATGAAAACATAAAAGTGATAAACAAGGTAGTATTGTCATAGTTATAAGATATTAGAGCCATCAGAGCTGATTGTAAATTTGTCTACAGTCTTTCTGATGCCTCAAAGACATATCTGTTACATGATTCAAATCGGAAATTAGAATTTGCTAAATTCTAGTGGAAAATGAAGTCTGGAATAGTATTTATTGGTCATATGATGCTAAAGTGGAAGTGGTTTTAGTTCCAATCTAGAAATAAACATACAACATTCTGCACTGTTAAGAGTTGCTAACTGGTAATAAATCAGTTAATAAAGTGCTTTAGGAATTGTAAAAATACCCTTGGGAGACTGTACCAGATTTATGGATTGGACTGGGGTTGTGTGGAGAGCAGAGTCTCTTCAGGTTCTTAAACAGCTCTACATACAATTCTTCCTGCCAGACTATACATGCTGGTTGTGCTGCAAACTTCCCAAAGCTCTGTCTTCCAGCAAATCATTCCATTCTTCATTCATACTTTAAGCTACTCAAAGTACCCTCAATTCAATTAGTCAAACATTTATCAGTGTCATTAAGTATATTGTCTGGCTTTTGCCTTGCTTGAATCTTTTACATTTAAAATATATTTATATATTTGAGAATTAGAAAGAGAGACAGGTAGATTAGGAGAAATCAAAGAGCCTCTTATCCACTAACTTACTCTCCTAAATATCCATAGTAACAAAGAATGAATCCAAGAGCCAGGAATGTACTCCTTGCCCCTAACATGAGTGGTAGAAGCCTAATTACTTGAATTATCACCACTGCCTCCCAGCACATGCGGTAGCATAAAATTGGACTCAAAAGCAAGAGCTGGGAATAAAAACAAGCACTGTTAATTAGAATTAGAATATCTTTTTAAAATTTTGTTTATTTATATAAGTAGAACAGATTTCATGTATTTCCTATATATGGTTTTAAGAACATGATGATACTTTTCGCTCTCTCTCCCTTCCCTTCCTCCTTTTCCCTTTCTTGTTTTTCTTTTAATTTGTGTGATAGCACATTTTCAAGTTACTTTATAATCACAAGCTCAGTCCTCCACTAAATAAAGAATTCAACAAGTAGATAGTAGAAACATCACTGTTCCTGAGGAATATAGAAAAGGGATACAGATGATAATCAGATCTCAAGATGTCAGTTTCACTCATACATTTTTTTCTGCTGTATAGGCTACCAAAAATTAGAGAAAATATTTTTGTCTTTTTAGGATTGACCTGTTTCAGTAGGCATAATTGTCTTCAATTGCATCCATTTTGTTGCAGAAGAAGGATTTCATTCTTTTTTATGGCTGAGTAGTATTCTGTTTTATATATGTGTGTGTACACACATACACATACCACATTTGCTTTATCTTGTCATCAGTTTATGGACATATGAGTTGATTCCCTATCTTAGCTATTATGAATTGAGCTGCTATATAAAGTTGGGGGCACAGGTAACTCTTTCATATGCTGATTTTATTTCCTTTGGGTAAATTCCAAGGAGTGGGATGACTATGTCATATGTTATATCCATTTTTGGATTTCTGAAGAAATCCAAATGTCTTCCATAATGATTGTGTTAGTTCACATTCCCACCTAAGTGTATTAGGGTACATTTTGCCTACATTCTTGCTAATATTTATTTGGAGGGGGACTTTTGGGTGAAAGCCATTCTTACTGGGGTGAAGTGAAACCTCATTATGGTTTTTATTTTCATTTCTCTTGTGCAAATCTTGTTGCCTTGGCTTTGGTTCTAGGTGAACCCAGGAATGTAGTGTCTGAGTGAGTCCTTTTATTTTAGTGGATGTCAGCTGTGTCTGTTAGTAACACAATGGTCTAGTCAGCTGCAGTTCCTAGGGATGGAAATGTGCCTTTGAGATGAATAAGGGTTTTTTTGGGTGTGCATCTTTGGTCCACAGATTCTGTGTTAGTCTCCCTGATGATTGTGATAGCCAAGGGCTTGTTCTTGGTGCTGAGGAAGATGAGGATGGCTGGTCCTTGACTTACTGGCAAGCCTGAGTGATACTGGGATTTGTGGCACTGATTTCTGTGGCTGTAGGACTGTGTGATATGGATTGTCCCTTCCTCAGTTCTTGGTAAGAGAGTCCAACTGGTACTGTGTTTTGTAATAACAACAACCCTAGTCCTAGGACTAGGTGTACAGGTTTTACTCTGCAGAGTATGGGTCCAGAGAGGAGGAATGCAAGCAGGTTCTTCCCTATGTCCACTGGGTAGATTTCAGTGGCACTCAGAAATTTACAATAAATTGTTACAGTCCTGGTCTTTCAGGTATAGTGGATCATTACCTAGATCTCCTGGGGTGGGAGCAAACTTTTTTATGGGCTGCTTCTGGTGGTAGCCCCCAGAAGCTAAGGTGATTTTCCCTGGCTCAGGTAGAGTATGTGAGTGTAGCTCTGCCCCCAAACTCCCACAGATGCAGGATGCAGGGATCTGTCTTTTGCCTTACACATTGCCCTGACTCTACAGTGCTGGTAGGAGCAGAGCAGAGGCTCACTGTGTATCTTCTCTGCTCAGTGTCATGCTCTGCAGGAATCAGGGAGGGGAAGGAAGCAAGGAGGCTTCCCTGCCCCAAGCTCATCAGTTGCTCAGACTCCATCAGCTCTCAGGTTGAGGTAGGAAGTCAGTGGGTGACTGACTTTTTTTTTTTACTTCTTTGTCTAACATTTTGGTCAGTCACTTCTCTGGAAAATAGTATTTCCTTTGTTCTGTTCATATCTCAGAGCAGCTTAAGTCATTATGGCTATACCTGATTCAGCCATCTTGGATCTCACCATGATATATTTTTGATTGTAGCTCATCATTTATTCTGTTGTCGTGAATGTTGGACAATGATTTATAAATATTATTTTGGTCAATACTGTCATTCATGTTTATGCTTGATGTTTTATTAGTTTCATCAATTACTATAAAATGTAAATCAATTTTCTAACATTACTTTTGAGGCTTTTTCTTAAGTTTCTTTTTTAATTTTGTGGACTTTGTTTCATATCATTTGAGGCTTTGTTTTTAGGCACATTAGCGTTTATAATTATATGATCAGCCTGATGTATTATCTGTTTATTATGATGAAAAGTCCCTGAGTATTTCTTTAGCCATATAAGACCCAAAAGTCATTTGGTTTGACCCTGCCAAAACAACCACAGGTGGTATTATTAATTCAAGGAGCTAATAACAAGCTAATTTTTAAGTTGATAATTTTGTATGGACAGCACATAATGTTGTAATATCCAAATGGCCTTTGGCAGTAAAAAAAAAAAAATGCTCCTATGTTCCTAACTCCTACTAATCCAAGTATTCATTTTGTATCATTTTATTTGAAAATAGACTGCTTCTTTTATTTATTTTTTATTTATTTAATGAGCATTAATTTCCAAAGTACAGCTTATGGACCACAATAGCCTCCTCCCCTCCGTGTCTTCCCTCACTGCTTCTTTTATATTATATTCTCATTTTCCTGTTCAGAAAATGTCTTTTTTATACTTCATGGATTAATGTTTTGTTTATTTTTATTTACTTGATAAAAAATTAAGAGCTCTATCTGCTGTTTCACTCCCTCAAATACCTGCAATGGCTGGAACAGGGTCCAGGCTAAAGCCAGGAGGCTGGAACTCAATCCAGATCACTCATGTGGATATCTGTGACCCAGCTACTAGAGCCATCATCTGGCACTTACCTGGTGTGCATTATTATGAAGTTAAATCACAAGCAAGGGTAGGAACTTTGATATGAGATGTGAGCATCCAAAGAAGCAGCTTAACCAAATGAGCGAAAATACCTGCCCTTGTTCACCTCATATTTTACAGCAATTACACTACATATAGGATCAAAGATGGAAGGATATTTTTTTCAGTGTAGTGAAGATTTCTTTCACTAATTTCTGAGGAGAAGTCAGCTATCATTCATACATAGCTGACCCAGTAGGCTGTTGTTTCTTTCACAACATTCAAGGTCTATTCTTTGTATTTGGAATCCTTCATTTTGTTATTTGCCTGTAGTAGCTTTCTGTCTGTTGATTAAGGGGTCATTGAACATTTCAAATCTATAAATTGATGTTTTTTAATATAATTTGAGAAGCTTTTCACCATTTCAAAATACATATTTTGTTTTTCATTTATTCTCTTCCTACTGAAATTTATTGCAGTTATGAGGGACTTCACAAAGATTCTGGAAAGTTGAAAGAAAAAAGTTTATTTTAGTGCAAAAAATGTTAGTAACCCATGCATAAAACTGATCTAGAAGTTCATTGAAAATGCATACTATAAAACATGATGCATAAAGGTTATGGAAAGTGTGTATTTGTAGATTAAATTTTTTTAACCAAAGTGAACTTTTCTTTTTAATTCTGCATTTTAAATGTTAGATTACTTTCTATATTGTTCCTGGACTTCTGAAGCTTTGCATATTTATGTAGTATCTTTCATTAATTAAAAAAGGCTTTTGGGGGGTGACACTGTGGCATGGTGGGCTAAGCCTCTGGCTGTGGTGCCGGCATCCCATATTGGTACCAGTTTGTATCCCAGATGCTCCTTTTCCAACCCAGCTTATGGCCTGGGAAGGCAGCAGAAGGTGGCCCAAGTGCTTGGTTCTCTGTATCCACGTGTGAGACCCAGAGGAATCTCCTGGCTTCTGATTGGCTTAGCTCTGGCTGAGCTATCTGGAAAGTGAACCAGTGGATGGAGGAACTTTCTTTCATTCTGTCTGTAACTCTGCCTCTCAAATTAATACATACAGTCTTTAAATAAAAAAAAAGTCTTTTGATCTATGTCCATCTTAGTCTCTTTGTGATAAGACTGTCAAACAGGTTATTTAGAAAGAAAACATTTTTTGCCAAAATGTATTTACTTTAAAATACTTTTTCAAAATGTATGTACTTTCTCTTTCTGTTAATAAAAGAGAAAGGGAGA